TGGACATGTCTATACACAATTTGGGTTGTCACAGCAAGGAGTGGGAGAGGTTCTACTGGCATCTGGCATCTATCAGGTGGAGGCCAAGGATGCTGCTGAACATCCTCCAATGCCTGAGACATTCCCCCTCCCCGCCCCCCCCCCAAAAAAACCCAAAAAACAGAAAATTATACAACCCAAAATGTCAGCAGTGTCAAGGCTGAGAAACCCTGGACAAGACTAATTCCATTTCCTTTTTTCTTTGTTGAAAGTTTTACCAGACTGTAAACCAGAGGAGGCAGTCATTATTATAGAGTTCAACATGCTTCAAAGTCTGTCCCAGAGAATTATAATCGTAGGTTTGAAGAACTCTGTGTTCAAATAAATCTTATTGGAGAACTTCTTAGAGTCATGAATTTTGTTTATATACATTGTAGGGATGAAAGAACATGGAAACGTGAGCAGAATTTCCCAGACTTACCTGACCTCAGAAACCTTTGACCATTTCTTTATCGAGATACTTGTCCTTTTATTAATTTGTAAAAACTCTTTGCATATTAAACACATTAATTCTTGGTCATAGTTTGCAACTATTTTTCTCCATTTGATAGTTATATTTTCATTTTGTTACTCAGTTTTTAACCTTTAAAAAATGTAATCTAGTTACATGCTTCCATCTGTGGGAGGCCTTATGTTATAGTTGCAAAGGGCATTGACTTGAACCTAGGTTATTCCGCCTACTAGTTGTGACACCTTCGGTAAATTGCTTAGCCTCCCCACCTTAGTTTCTTCTTATGTAAAGTGAAGATAATCATATCAAGCTCATAAGCTTGTGAGGATTAAGAGACACTATGAATATCAAGCTCAGTGCCCGGAACCCAGTAGGCTCTTGATAAATATTAGCTGCCATTATTATTAAGAATATTCAGACCTGCTCTGGGACCCAAAACCCAACTGAAGTCCATCAGGGAGGTATGACTAAGCAACAGCATCTGTCAGAGACTATTTCATTTGGCTACCACTTCAGTGTGAGTCAGATGAGTGAAGAGTGGCCAAAACCTCTACTCCATAAATACCCAATAAATAGATGAACATGGGCTCAATCTCCTGACTCATTAGGGAAATGCAAATTAAAACCACAATAAGATGCTACTATACAACCACCAGAATCAGTAAAGTTAGAAAGGATAATAATATTAAGTGTTGACAATGACATGGAGCAGT